TCTGACCCCGAAGGAACCCCACAACATGTTGTGATGTCGCCGTAATACCCAGTGCCACACCTACAGGGGCAGAAAACCTCATGGAAGGGGAAATGGGTGGTACCTCGATGCCAGGAGAGCCCCACCCTTGCCCAGAACGCAATGGACTATTCCCCTACTATGCAAAACCCCCATAAAAACAAGAGCCACTGTCCAGCCCAGGCAGCAGCCACTCTCTGCTCGGCTTAGTGGGTGGTCTTCGCTGCCATCTCGGAGGCTTGCCTGCGTCTGATCTCCAACCTCCTCACGTCTGAGAACCCTCTCTCCTGATGAGGGGGTGTCAGGCCCCCGGTGTCACTAGGATTCCTCTCCCCTCTACCCCCAGACCTGAAATCTAGGAGGGAGATGGTAGCAGTTCTGGGAAGTGGTGCTGGGGAGACAGCCCAGGGCATGACAGAACCCAGAAACGTAAACCCTGCAGAGACGGGGAGACAAGGCTGTGCGCCCTGGGGGCCCTCCCTTTCTAGATCTCAGCTTCCTTGCCCATGAAATGGGGTGATTGGTGCCCCCACTTCCTGTCCTGGAGAGCCGGGGCTCAGTGAGTGGCGGCTTTAATCTTTTGTTCCCTCTTGCCTGGCTTCCCTGAGCTCGTGTGTGCCAGGCTCTGCGCTAGGCCCCAAGGACGAGGCCTTGACCTTCACCCAAATCCTGCCCCAGGGGACCCTTTTGGGTGATGATTGTTGTTGCCGCGTCATGTTACATGACAGAAACATCGACTGGGTTTTGGGGGTGTTGGGTTTTTGGAAATTTTTGAAGGACAGGTTTATCAGGAGAAGGAGAAGAAAAAAAAGCAGCTGCGGCCACCGCAGGCAGGAGCTGCCTCAACCGGGGCTTGGACGGAGGCTCAGCCCAGCCTTAGGCAGCAAGTGCAGCCTGCGGGGAGAGGGCCGGCCGCCTGCTTGGTCTCTGGGCCCCAATTTTCACTAAAAAAATGGGGCCTCACCCACCTGTGACTGTGCAGGTGCCTCTTTTTCTTTCTCCTTCCCTAACAAGCCTGTCCTTTTAAGATGTAAAACAAGCAAAGGAACAAAAACGGGCACCAGGGCTTTCTGGCTGGCAGGGCTGGGGCGGCTCAGCGCCTCTGCTGCCCTGGTCACTGTTTGCGCCCTAGCCCTAGGATGGGCGTGCACCCGGGAGCCCTCAGCTGGGGCGATCTGAGGCCCCCCCAAAGCGGGTGCTGTGCCAGCCTGGCCCCAGGCCGCTGTCTGTTCCAGGCGTGGTGGTGGGCGTGCAAAGGGCTGGTGAGTCAGCAGGACCGGCCACACCTGGCCCCACTTTTATTTAAGGCTGCGCAGCCTCGCCCTCCACATGCTGCCTGTCCCGCCCAGCCATGGCAGGGAGCTCGGTGAGCGGGGGGCTGGGAGCTGAGGCTAAGCAGGGGGAAGAACCCCGGGCTGGAGCTGACTCGGGGAGGGGCTGGGCCTGGCCGGGGTCCTCTGTGGCAAAGGAGAAAGTGGGCGCTGGGGTGTCTGCGGAGGGTGGGCTGTGGCTGCTGGGCGACCCTCCCAGGCTCTCGCCTCCCCGGGGTGTCGGCCTCTTGGCTTCTTTCCTTTGAATCTTTTTCTGGGGAGTCTTTGTGGCTCCATCTCCTCCTCCTCCATTCGTGCTGGTCTTGGGCCTGGTTCCTGTCCCAGGGCCGGCCCGTCTCTCTCCCGTCTCCCGGGGTGTGCGGTGTGGACATTTTCTAGACACGCGGTAGTTCTGGCTTCTGTCACCTGGCACAACAGTGAGGGCCACGCAGGCTGTAGCGAGCGTCAGCACCACCACGTTCTGTCTGACCACAGGCTGCAGCGCCAGCCCATGGGGGTGTTTGGCTTGTGTCCACATTCGAGATTATGACTCTGGGGTACAAGTTAATGTGGGGACATGCGTACCCCAGTGGGCGGGGCAGAGGGAGGGTGTAGTGAGCAGAACAACCTAGCTCTCCCCTCCTTTTTCACACTCACCCCAACTCCCGCCCCTCACGCCTGCCCCACCGCTGGATGGAAGGTCCGGAACAGACACTGGGGATGGAGGCTGTGGGTGGAGAGCAGCCGATTCACCCCACCGTCACCCCGAGGCATCCGGCCTTCCAGCTCCCTGAACACCAGGGACACGGGAGTCAAGGAGACTGTGAAGGGGGCAAATGCCTGAGAGCGGGCAGCTGCATTGGGTGGGGTCTTCAAGCGCCCCCTTTTCTTTTTTTTTTTTTTAAAGATTTATTTATTTATTCATACAAGCACTGGGTACAGTCAGAAGCACGGGAGGGTGAGAGAATTCACCAGAGCCAGAGCGGGGAGCAGAGCAGGCAGAAGGACCGAAGGACACTGCTGAGGGGAGCAGCGGGCGGCAGGAGAGGTCTGCGCGCCATGTGGGACCCTCCTCCGGTGGCTGGGGAGCAGCTGGGGATCGAACCGGTGCCGCGGAGGCTTTGGCTTCGGGCAGCTTCACAACCCAGCGCTCAACTGCTGCGCCACCGGGGAGGCCCAAGCGCCCCCTTTTGCAGACGAGGGAACTGGAAACAGCAGGGTCTAACCACCAGGCTTTCCACCCCCTCTTGCCACACGTGGCACAAGGATCTGCTTGCTGCCCCCATGCAGCAGCATCTCTTCTCGCAAATCTGTACGACGTGCAGTGCTCTTGCGTGGCTCTCAACAGCCGAGCATAGGTGGGGGACGGGACACGGGCGGTCTAATCACAGGGGGGCTGTGGGAAGTCAGGCAGCCCCGGGGTGGGGCTTGAGCAGCAAGGGATGGTCTATGGGGGATTTCAAACCTAAAAAGAAAAAAGCTAAAATGGCAAATTTTACTTTCTGCATAATTTTATACAAGTACATGCAGAATAAAAGTGAAGGAGCGAGATCACCTGGTCACACCTGTCTCTGGAATATGAAGAACCAAAAAGCACAGACTGGCAAGATACAGCAAGAAGTAACCTTGGACTTAGTGAAACAGTGACTGCTTGCTGATGAGGTTTTTGGAGTTTGGAGGGCGGGGTCCTCAGGCTCACTCTGGGAAAGGTATCCCCAGAGCTCCCCTCTCAGCGCATGGGGCAAGTTTCCCAGGCGAGTTTCTCCATGAGGCAGAGACGTTAGTTATGTTTAAAGGGCAGGTTTATTAGGGAAGGGACAGGATTATGAAGGACACTTGCATGACACAAGCGGGCAGGAAGAGCTGCCCCAAAAGGGACAGGTTTGCTGAGAGGCCTGCACGGTTGCAGGCGGGTGGCCTTGAGGAGAGCGGCCTCCGCTGAGGGAGGTCAATGCGGAGAAGCCCTGGCCTGGTACAGGGCACAGGCAGGCAGAAGACTGCTGCCCTGCAGAGGAGAGAGTTGGTGACAGGAAGCACCTGCATAGTCACGGGTGGGTAGCAAGTGCTGCCCTGATCCAGGGCACAGACTGCACTGGTCGAGTCTTTTCTCTTCGGGAGGGGTCACTGCTCTGTGGAGTGGCCTGTTTGCTGCTGATTTTGGATAACCATAAGAATCTGGAAGAGACCGGAAATTCCAGGATGGGCCCAGTCTCTATATCTTTTTTTTTTTTTTGAAGATTTATTTATTTATACAGGCACTGGGTACAGTCAGAAGCGCGGGAGGGTGAGAGAATTCTCCAGAGCCAGAGCGGGGAGCAGAACAGGCAGAAGGACCGAAGCACACTGCTGAGGGGAGCAGCGGGCGGCAGGAGAGGTCTGCGCACCATGTGGGACCCTCGCCAGTGGCCGGGGATCAAACTGGCGCTGCAGAGGCTGTGGGCAGCTTCGCAGCCCAGTGCTCAACTGCTGCGCCACCAGGGAGGCCCCAGTCTCTATATTTTTACCCTCAGGTCTGTGCTCCGGACACTCCCGACAGCGCCTGATGCCTGCTCGGGCCTTATGCCTGTGATAAGGCACTGGCCCTAAGGATCTTGGTTTCTTTGGCTGGGTTAATGGTCACCTTAATCCCCTCCACACCCACCTCCTGTGTGAGTCAGGTTTTAGTCACCTGATGCCTCCTCTAGATTGTCTATTCTCTCCTCCATCAGTATCCAGAGGGGTTGGGGGAAAGGGAGGAGCAGATGTGCAGGAAGAGCTTAGGGCGTTGGTGGGGTGGGGGGCAGTGACTAGCACAGATGCAGGAGGAAAAAATGACCCCGGAAGTATAGTTAAAAAAAAAGAAAAGTAACTATCGTTGTCAGACTTGAGCTGTTCTGACATCACCAGCTGGTGATTCTATCCTCTGGCAAAAAGTCCCTCATCAGTCCTCGTGATGCAGAACAAAGTTCAAAGCAAAGGTTTGCTGGATGGTTTCTTAACACAGTTGTTTTTGACCCAAGGCAAAGGTCACTGGCTCTGTAGGGCCAGACCCGGAATGTGGTTTCTCGGGAGGGACTGACCCACCCACTTTAAAATGTTCCCCTTGGGGCACTTTTTCAGTCACCTGGGGTCTTTGGAAAGAACCAAGTTTAAAAACAGCCCAGCCTTGGCCTGCAGAGGGCACTATCGCTGCTTCTTTGAGAGGAGGAGAGAAAACTCCCTGGGACTGACCCCTCTGTCTCTCCTGTCTCCCTCGCTTACTTCCCCCCACACCCCTGCTTCTGCAGGACACCGGCCATATGTAGTCGCCACCCGCTGGCATCCTAGCGGGCACTGGGATGAGTGGGTGGTGGTGTCCAGTGGTCAGGCGATGCCCAGGCCCCGTGGTAAAGGCTGGGTGGCCCTCTGGGGTCAGCTGACCCCAATTTCTTACCATCTAAGGAGTGCCCCCGAGACAGCCTTGCCCACCAGGGTCTGAGTCCCCGTGGCTACTTCTGAACTTCTGGAATCTGCTGTCTCCGTGAACCTGCCCCTGCCCGTGCAGCTGTGTCCCCACGTCTCCGGGAAGCTCCACGGAGGAAGCAAGAGGGAGGGGTGGGGCCACGCACATGTGAATGAGGCAGCGAGACACTTTATTAGGGCTCCAAGGGCGTCAGCAGGATGCCCACCCCCCCATGCATCAGGACCCCGGGGTCAGATCTGGACGTAGGACAAGGTGACGTCGCCCAGGACCTCCAAGGTGTCCACCGTGTGGAAGGCTGTCAGCCGGTGGGCGAAGTCAAAGAGGTGCTGGCCGTTGGCGTAGAGCTTGAAGCGATCCAGGCCGCAGCGGATGGACAGCTGCCGGGAGAGGGTGGTGTGAGGCCAGGCCCGGGGAGGGGCTTCGGGGGTGGGGGTGGGGGGAGGACCCCTACTCACGTCGAAGTATTGTCCGGGCCGAAACGGGTTGAAGGTGCTGCTTCTCTCCTCTGATCCCCACGAGCCTCTCAGGTAGCTGTTCCGAGTCAGGGTGCCCTCACTCAGGCGGGGGTTAAAGTGCAGAGCCAGGTCTCCGGTGCACCCCACCTTGAAGTTGATGACAAAGCTAGGGGCAGGGAGGAAGGTGGGAGTCAGGTGGGGGTCCAGCTTCTGGTTCCCCAAGGGAAGAGGCCGAGCGTCCAGACCCTGGGTCTGGGGAGGGGGCCCCGAAGGTTCCCACCTCAACCTCCATCGCATACCTCTTGCCGTAGAGGGGTATGAAGCCCTTGATGATGATGGTTCTTCGGGCTGTGAGCCCCCCCTGCAGTCTCCCTGTGTATGGCACAGGCTGTGGAGAGAATATGGGGCCCCGTCAACTCTCAGGTCACCCAAAGCCAGTATAGGCCATGTTTTCAGAGCGGGCTGCCTGTTCCACCCAGGAGCCCTCCCCAGACGCCGTCGCGCCCCACCCTGGCCGTCAGCCCGTCCTGTCTGGGCTTCCCCCCAACCCCCACCCCGCTCTCAGGGGGTCCCATGACTAGGGGCCCCTGCCCAGGGCTCCTGCTGCCCCTCAAGCCCCTCCCCTGCACCCCCCGGCTGCCTTACTGGGTTGAAGACTGGAGGTCCCTCCATGGTCTGTGAAATGAAAAAGATGATTCTGTCATATTCAGTCACAGGCGCAGCGCCCCACTCATGCAGGTGTTTCTCTTGGTGCTGGGTTTGTGCAACGGGGGGTCCCATCTCACCGACCCCCTCAACTCTCACCACCCCCAGCCCCACCGACGGCCACACAGCTTACGGGCAGATTGCTCGGTGGTAGGGGGTTGCTTGGCATCTGGGTGTGCCCGTGACCCTGCGCAGACGGGGGGGAGGGGGAGGTCGTGAGAGGGGGGTCCTCGGGCTGCCCAGGACCTCCCAGTCACTGCCCCCCATCTCCAGAGGAGATCCACCCCTGCCAGCAGGCACTTACTGGATGAGGCGGACAAACCGCGAGTCCCTGTGGGCACAGAGAGAGGAGGTGATGGGTGGGACCCAGACTAGGGCCTGGGGGCTGCCAAGGGGGCCTCCAAGGGCGCATTAGTGGACAGGGACCCACCGTGTAGGGAGCTCCGGCACCTCGCAGCACCCTCTCAGGACAGGGCCCGTCCACCCTGCCACCCCGCCCCTCCGGCCTCCCTGGTGTCCCAAGACCCTCCCCGCCTCTCCTCCCCCTCAACCCGGGGCATCCCAGATCCACCCAGTGCCCCCCCTCGCCCCCCTCATTCCCTGACCCTCCAGACCACCACGGCGGGGAGGGGCGGCAGCTGGGAACCCCAGACTTCCCGCCTGGCCCTCGCCTGGCTCAGCCTCTCAGCGGGTCGCCTCGGCCTCTGTCTCCCTGCCTGTCGGTTTCCCTCTCATCTGCCCCTTCTCAGGTGGATCTTCCGCCAGGAGCGCCTTCCCCTGCTGGCAGCCATCGCTCTCCCCAGCGCCCTCCCGCCCGCCTGCCTTGCGCAGCCAGCGAGTGGAAACAGCTCTGCTGTTGCTTTTCTTCCTTAACTATGTTAAAGAAGCAAAAGGGCCACATGAACACCCACAGGCCGGTGGCGCCCTTAGGGATGAAGGCCTTCTGGAAGCTTCCCCGTCAGTGTGGTGTCCAGCACGGACCCGCCCCCTGTGTTGGGCCCACCCTCTGCCCTGTCAGCTCAGTGGCCCTGGGCCTGCCTCGGTTCCCACACTCTCCAGTGGGGCTGGTGGTCAGCGCACTTCTCCTGCCGAGATGCTAGGGTGCGCTCAGGCTGGGGTGTCTGGGGCCTCGGCTGCAGTACAGAGGGGTGGGGGGTGGTTCTAGGGCCTGTGTCTGAGGCCGTCTGTCCCTGTGCGCCTGGGCCTGGAGCTTCCAGGTCACAGCATGTGCCTATTCAGCTTTCCCAGACATTCTGGGCACCCTGCAAGGAAAGGGCGGGGCCCCTCCACAGCCTCACCCACCAGGGCTTGTGGGTGCCACTCAGAATCGCCCTTCTTTTGTGTGTAGCGGGAGCTCACTGTGATTTGAAGGAAGTCTTTCTGGTGACTCATGATTGTAGCTACCGCTTGCGAACTTATTGCGATCCCTGTGGGTTTCCTTTGCCTCCTGACTCCACACCTCCTCCAGGAAGCCTTCCTCTGCACTCTCCCAACCCCCTGTATGTCCCTGCCCTGACTCTCGTGGCCAACGGTGTCCGCTGATCCCACTGTGGTCTCCCTCGGTCCCTGCTGGGACGTCCCCTCACCCGCCGGAGGGACTGGGACAGAGCAGACGACCAGGAAATAAGCAGATGTGGGGGTTCTGGGAGGAAGCAGGCCAGAGAGCGTGCACACCTGGCTTGGGGCGGGCTGGCCGCCGAGGAAGTTGATGGAGTAGAGGCTCAGGTCCCCATCCACGTGCAGGTGGGTGACCAACTGCAGGGGGATCCGGTGGCCGTACTCATAGAAGGGGCTTCCGTTCACCACCACCTGGAGGGCAGGGGTGAGGTCAGAGCAGCCCCCGGCCGTGACTTTGGGGAGGTCAAGCCAGGAAGCAGGGAATAGGGATCTTTCCCTTGGGGGCAAAGGCCTTGGGGGAGGGTCAGCTGAGCTGGCCTCAGAGTGAGCAGCTCGGAGGCCAAGTCTGAGTCAAGGATCAGTTCGCAGATTAGCAGAGGCGAGAGAACAGAGCACTTAGTCTGGGGTGAGGCTGGGAAGGAATAAGGTGTGAGCTGGGGTCCGGGCACCAGACGAGTGGGGTTCGAGGCCTAGCCTGACACCTTGAGGCTGTGTGACCGCAGGGAAGTGACATCACCTCTCTGAACCTTTGTCTCCTGGGCTGAGATATTGGGGGGGGAGAGGGGAGCTGGGTCTGACCTTGTAGTGCTCCTGGAAGATCATGAACACCATCTCGAAGGAGGCGCCCTTTTTGAAGGGCATGCTCCTCTTCTTCTCCTCGCTGCCCCATTTGCCGCCCTGCTTGGTGTTGAAGACCACCTTGTCCCAGCCGTCGAAGCGGGGGTTGAAGTGGAAGGCGATGTCCGCCTCCGGGTCCTGCCCCGTGGTGAAGTTCACGGAGAACCTGGGGGCGCAGGAAGGGCTCTTCCCCTGGCCCCGCTTGCCAGGGCCGGGCCCTCCCCCACAGCCCCCTGTCCCGGGATTTGGGGGCAGATAGGGGACTGGCACTATGGACCCAAGTGAGGGATGGGGGCCGAACCCCTAAGTTCCAGGCCTCAAGCCTCCTTGTTCACCCCCTTGCCTTGTTAGGCTGCCTCCTCCCCTCCTCCAACCTCAGCAGGATGCTGCCGGGACCCCCGTTTGCCCGGCTCTCGCCATGCGCCAGGCCTGTGTCTAGGAACCCTACATTTATCAGTCCGGGCCTCCATCCCTCCCCGGCCACTGCAGGCCCTGTTCCCCGTGGTCCCACGGCCCGGTGGACACCCAAGTCAGAGCTGGGCTTACACCCCCTCACGCCAACATCCCCAGAGATATTCCCACAAGGCAGGCGCACCCCTGTCCGGGGGCCTGCGCACTGCCTGCCCTGTCCGCATGGAATGCCCTTGGGGACAGATCCGTTATAAAGACGGGAACCCCAGAGCGCAGAGAGGTACAGTCGCTTCCCCCATCACACAGCCAGTAAGTGACAAGCTGGGAGGGGACTCCCCTTTTTCCATCCAACGTGCCAACTCTGGGACCACTTCCCAGGGTGAGCCTCCCTGACCCCTCCCAGTCCCCAGGACCCCCCCATCCTCAGCTGATCACCAAGCCCTGGCCTCCCCAGAGCAGGCTGGTCAGTGCAATGCGCAGAGTGCCTCCCCGCTTCCCCTGGGAAGCACCCCCCTTAGCAGTCCCCCCTCAGCCCAGCCCGGCACGGGGAGGTCTCACCTCTTCATGTGATCGTCAGCCTCTCCCTGGATGTACACGGACATCCCGGCCCTGAGGCCGCCCGGGATGATCTGCCTGTAAGGCAGCGTCTGTGGAAGGGTCGGGTGAGGGGCGCTGTTGCAGGCTTTCTCCCTCATTGAGGAAAAAAAGTACCCCCCACGCCCCTACAGCAAGGAGAGGAAGCTAGGGGGTGAGAGTTAGGCGTGGGCCTGGACCCCCAGATGTCAGGCCGGGAACAAATCCAGCACTGGGGTCAGTATTGGGCATAACAGACCCAAAGGTCCTGGGTGGGGGTGCTCAGAGGGCCGGGTGGGGGGCAGTGGTCAGGTTGGCGCTCGGCCAGGGCCTGGGCCGCAGCCTCACCGGGTTGAAGGTGGGCTGGTAGCCCGGTGCCGGGACGTAGGCCATCTGGAGGCTGGGCTGGTGTCCGGTCGCGGGAGAAGAGCTGCGGGAGTGGGGACCGCGGCCGGGTCGGCGCCTCTTATACCTACGCACCAGGGCGGGGCTGACAGGTCACCGTTCACGGGGCCCTCCACCGTTGCCAGGTTCCAGGTTTCCCCAGGGCACCCCCTAGTCTCTTTCTTTGTAGCCTCTCTGGTAACTAGCCAGAACCCAGCTCATCTGGACCCACCCGGGGGGGCTCAGATCAGGACCCCCACTTCCAGACTGATGCAAAGAGGAAGTGCAGGGACCTTTGGCCCCACCAGGGCGTTATCAGATCCTTTGTTAGCAGAGGGTGGGTGAGGTCAGCTGGGCAGGGCAGGGCAGGGCAGGGCAGGGCATGGCATGATCCCCAACAGTTGGGCAGTGGCAATGAGCTGAAGCAGGGAGGATCAAGGCGCTCTTGACATTGCCAGCATTGGGAAAACACCTGCATTTTTGGCATGCCCGTGCTACCCCTTTGTGTGGTCTCTGGAGTGACTCAGAGCACTGATTTCTGGCTTCCTGTGTCTGCCACTTCCTGACTGTGACGTTGGGGCAGGACCTTCACCTCAATGTGCCCATCTGTAAAATGGGGCTGTCCCACCTTCACACCGCCCTGGAAAGCCACCGCTAGGTTCAATGCTCAGAGGAGACAGCAGCACACAGCAGGCCCTGAATAGAGCCCCCCGCGCGCTTCCAAGTTTCCAGGGCGGGGGCTGCAGGCGGCATGCTAAACAGCCAAGAAACCCCGAAGAGTAAAGAACCGCGGCCGCTGGCCCAGGAGCCGCAGCGGTGGCTTCTCCCCGGCCTCGAGCAGCCGACCCGGCTCTGCAGGGCAGTCCGGGGGCGCCAGGCGGGGAGTGGCCCTCCAGCAAGGGTGGGGCGGGCCTGTGGCCTCGCAGGTCAACTCGCGTGACTCTGGCCTGGCCCGTCCTCCCCACCACCCCTCCGTTTTGTGGGCCACCTGCCGTCTCGGGGAGTGCCCCGCTGCCCGTGGCTCCCTTCCACATGTCCTGTCTCTCCAAGAAGGGCGCCAGGTGCGCTACATCGCTTTATTGTTACTGGAACGATAAGGCCGTAGGGGGAAGGACATCTGTGTTGTAAAGTGATAAGCTGGAGACTGGCAGGGATGGCACCGCGGTGGCGGCCCCGGGCAGGTCCCCGCTACGTGGGGTGCGCAAACAGCAGCACGAGGAGCGGCGGGGCCGGGCGCGACGGCTCTCAGAGCTTGGAGAACGGGACGCCCTTCAGGTCCTTCTTCTCGATCGCGGCCTGCACGGACCTGACGATGTCGTCCGTCTGCAGCATGCTCATGTTCCAGGACGCCTGCGCGGGGCGGGTGACAGGGGCGAGGAGTTGGACCAGCGACAATAGGGGCGCACCCGCAGCAGAGCCCTGATTGGCTGCTCAGGGCTGGAGGGGGCTGTGGGGGGTCGCGGGGGCTCACCATGTAGTTGAGGCCTTCCGCCACGGAGTGGTCGCGCGAGTAGACCAGGTTGACTTTGGTGCCCTGCACCGCCACCGGGCTCTTGCTGGAAATCTCGGCCGCCAGCTCAAAGGCGGCGTCCAGCATGGCCTGCTTGTCTGGAAACACCCGACTGCGGATGAAGGGGGTGGGGGCTCAATCGGTCTGTGATGGGCTCCCCTCCACCCCCTTCCTGCCAGTGAAAGTGACCCATCAGAGCAAGGCACCAGACGCCCGAATTTTAAAAACCCCATCACCCAGCGAGGAGTCACTGGGAATCTGTGCGTGAGGGCACAGCGGGACTCTGGGGCCTCCGAGCTGCCCTGAGGTCTTCACAGCACCTGCCGCGACCCCTACCTGACCAGCCCACATTCCTGGGCCTCGTGAGCCATCATTTTTCGGGCGGTGAAGGCCAGCTCGTTGACCAGGCTGCAACAGGACGAGGATATTAGGGGGCTGAAGCCATCCCTGGTCTGGGAGTGTCCTGCAGTTCCCTCCGCCAGGCTCCCTCCACCTACCTCTGGTTCCCGATGACTCTGGGTAGGCGCTGCAGCGTCCCCACATCCGCCGCCAGACCCACATCCACCTCCTAGAGGGTGGACAGCAATCGTGTCAGTGCCCGGTTTCTGCCCAGTGTGGCCCCCCGTGCAGTGTCGGTGCCAGTGAAATTCTGCATCTATGCAGAGGCCCCACTCCACTTCCACCTTAGAGACTGCCCCCCAGTGCACCTCCCCATTCCCATGTAAATGCTTGAATCCAAGCAGGGCCCTTCCCAATTCTTTAGGGTCAGCCACATCTATCTCCCGAAGAAATATCTCCCACCTGACGCCATAGGTGGGCCCTTTCCAGCACCAGCCCTGCAGCACCCCCAGCCTCATCCCTGCCCCCAGACATTAACTCCTTCCTGATCTCACCAGGACGGTGTGACCTACTCTTGACTTCCTGTGGCCAAGTCTTTTTAAGGTTCAGTGCTGCCTAACTTCCATGAAAGCCTTCCAGGCTCACTCCAAGCCCTCCACCCCTAACCCCTTGGCCCACAGCACCCCTGCTCTGCCCCCCACCCCCCGGATTTGCCACTCCCTGGCAGCTCTAAGAAGGACCAGAGCAAGCAGCTCAGGATGATGGCTCACCTTCACCTGGAAGAACGCATCCTGGGCACAGTACCGGATGTCACAGGCGGTGATGAGGTCCACGCCTGGGAGAGAGGCCAGGGACAGTCAACAATCACCAGATCCAAGCCCTCCTCCCAGATGCTGGGGTTGCAACTTGGAACAAAGTCTATATAGCAACAAAGCTGAGGCAGCAGGGCAGCAGCCAATCAGCATCCAGCCGGAGTGAGCCCAGGCTGGCGGGTGGGTGCAGACTCACCTCCGCCAATGCAGCCCCCATGGATGGCAGCAATCACAGGCTTAGGGCACTGGAAGGGAACAGAAGGGGCGAGGTCAGGTCTGGCCCAGGAGGAGTGGGCCGAGGGTGCCCTGGTAGCCCCCCAGCATCACCTTCTCAATGACACTGAAGGTCTCTTGGTACTTGGTAATGAAACGACGGAGGTTCCAGCTGATGCGGGCCACGTCTTCTCCATGGGGCTGAAGGATGTCCGAGGCCATGTCCATTAGGTCGATGCCTGGTGTGGAGGTAGAGAAGGCTCACCTCGCTCCCCAGGGCCCCCCACCACCCCAAGCAGAAGTCTGCTCCGGGGCAAGATGGATGCCACACTCCAAAACCACCACAGTGCAGGAGGCAACACGGAGCTCACGGAGGGAGGGCGTGTGGGCTGTGAAGTCAGGAAAAGCTAGCGTTCACTCCGTCAGCCCTGTATCCTCACCACGTCCTTGACGGGGGTCCTAATTTGGGGAAGGGGAACAAACTGAAGCAGAGGAGCTAAGTCCCTCACCCAGGCTCACGCGGGCTAGTGAGCAGTGGCGTTGGGATTCCACAGCCAGAGCCACGCAGCTGGCACCAGGGTGGTCAGGGCTTTGGCATCAGCAAAGCAATTGGTGGCCGCGATGTCGCCTGGTCTGGAAGGCCAGAGACGTAGCACGTTGTGTGGCTCTAGCTTTAAAGCAATCCCAGATCTTCCTTTTCCTCCACTCATCCTTCTTCTATGCACCTGCACAGCGTTTCCCCAGCACCCACTGCTGCTGCACTGTCTGTTCCCCACACGCCTCCAGGCTGTCCCTCTGCTTCCCATCCCACCGAGAATAAAATGCAAGGTCTCTGCCAAGACCTGGCCGGCGCCGCAACAAACATCATTTCCAACTATTCCTTTGGGGCCACGGGCCTCCGGTACTTGTTCCAAAGCTGCAACACGTTCCTGTCCCAGGGCCTTTGTGCCTACTGCTCCCTGCCATGAACAGAGCTCCCCTGGGGTTGTTACAAGACTGACTCCATTATTCTGGGCACAGCTCAAAGGTCACCACGTCAGACAGGCCTGCTCAGCCACCCTGTCTCAATAGCGATCACTCGATCACTCGCCTGTCCTCCTGCCTTATCTCCTGATCTCCTGCACTTCCCTTGCGCGTGTCTGTCATTTAGTGCTCGCTCCTGTCTAGGAGGGGAACTCCCTCCCCAAGCAGAGGACTTGTCTTCTGGCCCCAGAGTGCAGCCCCAGGGCCTGCAGGGGATCCAGTCCCATGAGGCGCTCTGTAAGTGAGCAGTGTAGACAGCAATCCCTGCCCCCCCTGGAGCTGCCCTTCTTGGGGGAGATGAGTGAGTGTGAACATGTTTCGTAGGGAGGTGATAAGGGCTAAACAGAAAAATAAAAGATGGAAGTGGAATAGTGTGTGTGCAGGCGTGCAGCGAGGGCTGCTGTAGTGTTAAATGGGGTGGTCAGGGATCCGCTCCCTGAAAAAGTGACTTCTGAGTGAAGATCTGGAGGAGAGGGAGGAAGCTATGGGGTTACATTTTTTTTTTTTTGAGATGTATTTATTTTTATACAGGCCAGAGGCGCGGGAGGGTGAGAGGATTCACCAGAGACAGAGTGGGGAGCAGAACAGGCAGGCTGACTGAAGTACACTGCTGAGGGGAGCAGCGGGAGAGTCAGGAGAGGTCTGCTGCGCCATGTGGGATTTTCGCTGGCCGGCCAGGATCAAACCCGCACTGCTGAGGCTGCGGACAGCTTCACAGCACGGCATTCAACCTGCTGTGCCACCGGGGAAGCCCTGGGGTTACATTTTTTTTAAAGATTTATTTATTTATGCACACAAGAACTGGGGCACAGGCCAGAGGTGCAGGGGTGAAAGGACTCACCAGAGACAGAGCGGGGAGCAGAACAGGCAGATGGACTGAAATACACTGCTGAGGGGAGCAGCGGGTGAGACAGGAGAGGTCTGCTGTGCCATGAGGGTGGCTCCCTGCCCAGGGATAGCTTGATAGTGCTGAGACTGAACCCCCTGTGCCACCAGGGAGGCTCAGCTATGGGGTTATTTGGGACTAGAGAGCTCCAAATGCCAGGAAGAGCAAGTGGAAAGGCCCTGGCAGAAAAATGCCCCTGGTCTGGGCAAGTAGGGGGGCCAGTGGGAAGAGCAAAGGCAGAGAGGTGTTGGGGGCCCATCGTGTGTGAGACCTCGTGAGCCAAGGGGATGACTTAGGTTTGGACAGTGAGGCTGAGTTGCAGGATAGTTCAGACTCACCCCTCACTTTCTCCCTCTGTGAGTGAATCATTCTCATCTCGACCTTTCACCTGCTCTCTAAATCATGCCCTTGCACAACCAGCAAATGCATTCCCACATCTGGCCACAACCCGATTCTCTGATTTGCCAGCTGCCTCCATGGCTTGTGTAATTAGGCAACCCGACTGCAGTGCTGCTGGCTCGGGGCGAGTGGAATTTGTGCGGGTTAAACACAGGCCAGATGGCACTGCCCGATGTGTCACTGCATTCACTGGGCCTGCTTTCCTTTCTGTAAAATGAGGGTAAAGCCCTCCAGAGAGGCAGCTCTCCTGCCCCCCTGTGACTATACAGGTGCCTCTTTTATCTTTCTCCCTTTCCTAACAAACCTGTCTTTAAAAAAAAAAAAATTATTTAATTTACCATACAAGAGCTGGGGTGCAGACCAGAGGTGTGGTGGGTGCAAGGATTCACCAGAGACAGTAGGGAGCAGAACAGGCAGACTGACTGAAATACACTGCTGAGGGGAGCAGCGGGGAGACGAGAAAGGTCTGCTGCGCCATGTGGGTAGCTCCCTGGCCGGAGATCAAACTCGTGCTGCAGTGGCTGTGGATAGCTTCATAGTGCTGACGCTTAACCCCTTGCACCACCAGGGAGGCCCAATCAACCTGTCCTGTTAAAATGAAAAAAACAAAAAAATCTCCAGAGCAGATGGGGCTGCAAAGATTCAAGGAGACAGGCCCCCCTACTCCCGCTGGCCCCAGGCCCTTAGCACCGTGCCTGGCACGTGACTATATGTGACTATCACAGCTACCCTCTCTGTTTCAGAGGGGCCAGGCCGCCTGGATCACCGGCTGGCACTGCTGGCCCCCACGCCAGGTATAGGGGCGGGCTCGGTCCCAGGACAGGTCTCCCAGGACAGGCTGGGCCCCACACCTTGCCACACCTCCTCCTGCTGGCTTTTCTGGTTTACCCGCCCCACCCTGAGCTACAGAAACTGACATCAGTACCCCTGGAAATAAAAGGCCCCTGTCCCCTTCCAAAGGAAGAACTACCCACTGCAAAGAAGCCCCCCATCTGGATTCCTTGTGAGTGCTAAGTGTTCCTCAGTGCTAAGCTCACGGTGGTTCCTCCCAGCACCCACGCTAACAGCTGGGGTACCCAACGCTTTACACTTACTAACCTAGTCCTCATGGCAACCCGAGGAGGTTCTCTCCATTTTCTTCCAAGGAGGAATCCTCGGCACAGAGGGGTTGGAGGGGTGTACCCAGGTGGCAGTGGGGGAAGGGGTGGGTGCCCAGGCCGCAGCCCTGGCTTTGAACCAGCAGGCCACACACCAGGTTATCATCGGCTGGTCAAGAGCGAGGACCAGGCAGCCTGAGCTTGAGAATCCCATTTTTTTTTTTTAAGATTTATTTATTTATGCATACAAGAGCTGGGGTACAGGCGAGAGAAGCAGGGGGTAAGAGGATTCACCAGAGACAGAGTGGGGAACAGAACAGGCAGACTGACTGAAATACACTGCTGAGGGGGGGAGCCACGGGCAAGACAGGAGAGGTCTGCTGTGCCATGTGGGATGTGCCCTGGCTGGCCGGGGATCGAACTCGTACTTCAGAGTCTGTGAAATGCTTCGTAGTGCGGTGCTTAACCCCTTGCGCCACCAGGGAGGCCTGAGAATCCCATTTTTGCCACATAAGCTGTGAGAGCTGGGCGAGCTTCTCCCTCACTCTGGGCCTCAGTTTCCTCACCTATAAAATGGGGATCATTGCCGCTGTCTCGTAGGGTTGTGGTGAGAATGAATCACTCTGTGTAAAGTACTTAGATGCTCCGAGAAAGCCAAATAAGTACGGGCTACTTCTATGTATTTTAAATTAGTAGTTTCATTCTCTCATTCACACTACTAATTAAGTCCACTTTCTTCTTTCGGGCCTTCAGGTTCTTGCTGTTGATAAGGGGCAAGATAGCCACCACCCGCTGGGGGCTGACAGGCGAGGTGCTGGGCCTGCAGGAACAGGTCAGCCCTCACCTTCCCTCCTTACCCGAGCTCGTGGGGGCAGAGGCCAGAAGCCGCAGGTCCCTGCACCCAGAAGGGGGCTGGGAAGGGGGCTGGAGTGACACTGTGGACTGAAAGGAAAACAGAGTTGTAGAGAGAAAATAAGGGCCATAGCAGCCATGTAACAGAGGAAACAGATGGTTTGGGTCTGTCTTCCCCTCGCAGTGGGGATCTCCACGCCGGCAGGGCCGTGGCTGTCTCAGAATTGGGTTCCCAGCATCGGGCTGGGTCCCTGTGCAGAAATTAACGTGAGGCTCCACTTCTAGTACCAGCCACAGATGACAGCTACGTGCCCTCGTTGTGGGTGATACACATAATTGCCTGATGGCACCCAGGAGTTAGCCGCTTAGAAGGGACTGGAACCACATGACTGACTTGGTAGGGTAGTCTTGTGTTGTGCTCGGAGAACCAGAGGCCAGAGTCCAGGGTGACCTGGACGAGTAGCTGGAAAGTGAGGGGTGACGTCCAGAAAGGAAAGAACCAGAGAGGAGACTGGATTCTGTCTGAACCTCTGGTTCATGTATAACCCAGCCTGATAAGAGAGTTAAAGCAGATCCCAACTCAGCTGCTAGAACAAATGCAACGTCTAAAAAAGGACTAAATAGAAATTTGAGACCTGAAAACAACAGAATGTGAAATTCAAAAAATCACTGGTTGGGTTTAACAGCAGAACAGAGATGACCCGGGTGTCGGTGAATGTGGCCTAAGGAAATGATCCCATCTAAAGAACAGACCTGTAGAACAATCAAAAGACCCAGCAGGCAACCGGCAGTCAGCTTGTGTGCCGAAGCACGTTATTTTAAGCGTGTTATTCTAACACATGTCACTGACACGCTCACACAAGACAGAGAAGTCAAGGGCCGTGTTCAAGGTCACAAATCCAGGATGGAAACCCAAACTTCTGAGCCTGTCGTGATCTATTGCACTAACTTCTGTATTTGAATGTTTTAAAAGTTTTGAAAGGATGAAAGTCAAAGTTAGAAGCTGCTTAAAAGTCTAATTAGGAGGGCCTCCCTGGTGGCACAGGGGTTAAAGACAGCGCTATCAAGCTATCCTCAGCCTCTGTAGCACAAGTTCAATTCCCAGGCCAGCCAGGGAGCTGACCCACATGGCATAGCAGACCTCTCCTGTCTCGCCTGCTGCTCCCCTCAGCAGTAGATCCTCCTGTTCTGCTCCCCACTTTGTCTCTGGTGAGTCCGCTCACCCCCTGCACCTCTGGCCTACACCCCAGTTCTTGAATGCATAAATAAATCTTAAAAAAAAAAAAGTCTAATTAGGAAGCACTGCCATATACCCAGGAGTAGGGGTGGGTGTGGCAAGGATCTAGTACCTGCAGTGAACATTTTTCCTGCACCAGAGATTACCACTACCCTGCAGTCTGCGTCTTCTGCAATCTTGTTGAAGCATTCCACCATCTCCCTGTGAAAGGGCAAAAAGTAAAGGGCTGTGTTCAGGGTGGGAATCCCCAGCTGCTCACCCAGGTCCCCCTGGACAGATGCGCCTGTCCATCTGCCCTGCACACCCCTCCCAGCCCCCTCCTCCTGCAGGCAGGCTTCCAGGATCTGCAGGTCAGACCTCCAGAAGGCCTTGTTCATGGCATTCCTCTTCTCAGGCCGGTTTATCTGCACATGTAGGACGTGTTTCTGGGCAGACATCACTAGAAGGGACTCATAGTTGTGGTCTGGGGCTTCACTCGGGGCTGCTTTGGAAGCCTTTTCTTGTGCAGCAGAGCCCATGGCCTGAAGGCCAACGCTGAGACCCAGGCGGGAAGGGGAAGTCAGACCTGGGGAGATAAAGGAGGAGTCTCGGGTGACCCTAGAAGGAGACAGCACTGTCAAGAGCAGAGGGCGGGCAGGGAACACACACTCCTTAGAGAACTGTTTGCCAGCAGGGAGACAGAAGACCGCAGGTGCATTCATTTATCAGTGGCCTCGCTCTGAGAACTACTTCAGACCCTTGATGGTGGGCCTGACCCCAGCTCTCGGACACTGAGCTGTCAGGGACCGCATTATAAAACGGGGGCCTATAGAATTCGGCTGGGAGCCCACGGACCCGTGAGCGGAAGGGCTGGGACTCGATGTGACACGGGACGGGCCTCCCCTTCCTACGGTCGCTGGCAGCATGACAGTGCGCGGACCCCCAGAGGTCGAGGTGACTCACGTCGCGTCAGCAGGTCGTGGAGTCTGCGAGATGCCACCCTTGCCGCCGCCATCGCCAGAGTAGCTGTTGTCCCCAGACGGAGGAAACCAGGGGGCGGGGACAGGAGGCCGCCATGTCGGGTGAGGGCACCGAGGCTGTAGTGAGAGCGCGGGATGCTGCCCCCGACATCTTTAGTAAGGGCAACCGGAAGTCGCCTCGCGGGTGCCCGTGGACTGGCAGAGCCGCTCAGACGGGCCCTTTCACCCAGTGGGAGGCCGGCCCGGGACCTTCGTGCCCACCGCGCGTCGCTGTACAAAGTTTACCACGGCGCTGTGGCACGCTGGCGGCGGCCGAGTGTCCGAGGGCTTAATCGCGGAATAACCACAGCCCTGCAAGTTGCTAATCGCGACGTGAACTTACAGGCAATGTGTCACCTAGCTGCGGAGTTTGCTCGCGGAAAGGAGTGCACATACAGATGCGCCGGTATTAAGCGCCGATGAGAGAACCCCACTCCCGCGCCTGCACGCCCCCCACTAGTTTCCGTAGCAGAGAGGAAGGCGCAGGCGCGGGGAAGTCATTAAACTACTTCGAGGTCTCTGGGATCAAGGGTGCTGAAGAGGGGGGATTTTGTGGCCCTCCAGTCCGTTAAAATGTTAAATTTCTTTCCAAAAAACCATTAATTCAAGAGCATAAAAAGTGCTACAAAACTGCCTAAGTGCTATATAGGGAGATGTTCACGAAGGTCGATCTCTGGAGGAATAGAATTGCAGGGAATATTTTGTCATGTGTCATGTGGACTTTCAAAAATTGGAACCAGGGACTAGCCATCAAGAGAAATGTTAGTTCTGCAGAGAAACTGAAAGCGCTAGGTAGCAAGATGGGAAAGAAAAGTTTGTTTTTTTAATCCCTTTTTTTTTTACTATATATATATATATTTAAGATTTATTTATACAAGCACTGGGTACAGTCAGAATTGCGGGAGGATGAGAGGATTCACCAGAGCCAGAGCGGGGAACAGAACAGGCAGATTGACGAAGTACACTGCTGAGGGGAGCAGCGGGCGGCAGAAGTCTGCACACCATGTGGGACCCTCGCTGGTGGCTGGGGATCGAACTGGCGCTGCAGAGGCTGCGGGCAGCTTCGCAGCCCAGTACTCAACCGCTGCGCCACCAGGGAGGCCTGGGAAAGAAGTTTTAACGACCAGCTCATGTTTAAAAGATGGTTATAGCTGTGATATACTATGTGCATAGACTATCTCTGGAAGGAGATTAAAGTGGTGCTTGGAAAAGTGGGGAAGTTCACTTTTTCCCCACCTAAAAACAGATCTCAAATTTTGTAAGTTTCTGACTACAGGGTGACTGCAGTCGATCCTGTCCACCAGGCTCCCCTGAAGGAATCTGTTCAGCAGATGTGTAACCCAGGTTTAAGTGTCTCAGTTCCCAAAGCAGGTTCTTTCTCAAGTGAACAGGGAACACCGTGGTGGTTTTGATCAGCTCCTCAGCAGCCTGCTGTCCTGGCAGCAAGCTCAGCCCTTAAAGCAGGTTCCTTGCAGGCGACTGGCCTCCCCAACCACACACCTAAGTTCCCATTCACCAGAATTGTGGGGTACCTACTGCCACACTGCAATTTCAGTGGCCGGGAAGTATCTCCAGATCATTTTTAAGGAAGGTGGCTAAGATATCTGTTATGACCTCACAGCAATGGGGCTTGCAGCAGTAAGAAACTGGAACCAAGTGACAACATGCACACTCCAAGCTCCGCAGGGACAAAGATGGTTCTAGACACAACGCTTCTAGCACAAAGCTGTGTCTTTAAAGTACGAACACACAACTTGATTGTCATGTGATCTTTACTAGGGGGGAAAATCAAAATGCATTAAAGGGACTGGAGAGAAACTTTTCTTTCTGAAGTTTTATTTTTCAGTCTTACAAAAAAAAAAAAAAGCAAGTGTCTACTTTGTAGATTATAGCTTTAAACTTTATAATCTCCAAGTCTTTTATTTTTCAACCTTTTACTTGTGAAGTGACTGTAGCTTGACTGAGCTTGCTTGGAGGAGCCTGTGAAGTATGAGACCAAGTCTCCTGTGCTGGGTGGGTCTGCGGCCTGGCCACCCCTTCCCTCTCAAGGCCGAAGGCCGCTGCTGTGTCTTGGCCTGCCCGCCAGTCCCTCTTTATCAGAGGGAGTGGTAGGGAAGCACACACGCCCTGGAATCCCAGAAACCGCTTTTTCTTTTCCAAACAATTTTATTGAAATGTGCCAAGAGTACACGCGCAGCACAGATGTATGAACAGGAAAATAAAATCACTTGTACAATAATTTTCAAAAACCTTCAAAAAGGTTAATTTTGGGAGATATCAGTTTTCCATTTCCCTCCCCTTCGGACTCTCAGTTTTAATATTTCCATTATGGTTAAGCCTCTACTAACCTAGCATTTAAAAAAAAAAAAAAAAAAGAATACAGGAATTTTCGGCCAAAAAAAAAAAACAAAAAACAAAATCCCAAAACAAAGAAAATAAAAAAAACCGCATAAAGAAAAAAATATCTTCCTGCTCAGATGGAACTCTTCGTAGGCACCCGATTAGGAGGCATGCTGAGCGGTGGAGAAACACAACTTCAGGGTGTAAGGGTATGGGCCATCTGCAAGAGAGAGCGCGGTTCGGTCGGGACCCTCTCAGGAGGCTCTCCCTGCCCAGTTCGCCCATTTGGCACAAATCTCTCATTCCCTGCAGGTCAGCAACAGGGCTCCCAGACACCGCCCAGAGCGAGACTTGACGGGACTATATCCCAGGTGTCCCTCCCTCCCTCCCTCCTCGCAGGCCCACGCAGAACCCCGTCTGGGCCTAGTTCCCTTGTCATGAAGCCCGCCCAAGGGACTCCCCGCTGCCCAGAGCAGCCCCTTCGCTGGCTATTATCTGAGCCAGACCCGGCAATTGACACTGTGGGCGTTAACTGGCAGCCTGTGACGCAGACAGCGCCTGTGCCCTGGAGGGCAACTCCCAAGCTGGCAGAGGAGGTGGCAGCCAGGCCGGCCCTCCCATGGGGAACATCAGGTGCTCTCCCGGCGACCAGGTCCCACCAGCCTCTGTGGGTGACAACACAGCCGCTCCTGGGGCCCTACTTTACCGGTGGGAAGGAAAGCTCTGGCCTGAAGCCAGTCAACCCATTAGGCAGCGGGGGTGACTGCGGGACCCACAGACACTCACTTGGGTTTTTCATCTGGTAGTGGTTCAGGAAGCCCAGAGTCTCCAGGGCGTCGCTCTTGGATTCCCACTCCAGCAGCCCAGAGGAGCTGCGTTCACCTAACCAGAGAGTTTTAGGCTGCCGTGAGCAGGAAACCAAAAAACTGCCCACTCAGAAGCAGGACGGGGGGAGGCGGGGCAGCAGACTCACTTTTGCCTGAGAATACTTTCACGGAAGATGGCCGCTTCACGCCCAGCTCGTCGCAGATCTGCAGGGGAGACGGGAGGCCCTTCAGCTACACCGGAACGCAAGTGCCCGCCCCGGGGCCCGGCTGCTTCTGGACTGTTTCTAGGTCGTCATCACACTCAAAGATGCCCCACGACCTATCCCCGCAAGCACTGAGAACGGCTTCTTAAACACCTGGACTTCAGCTCTTTTGGGGGTGGGGGTGGAGGTGGAGTGCTGGCGACAGCAACAGTGGGGGCAGGGCTAGGTGCACATCCAGCTCCTCTCCCTCCCTGACTGCCTTAGTCACCCCTGACCACCCCGAAGCAGGACCCTCTCCTGGGTCAGCTAGGCACCGGAAGGCCAGCCTGATGTCAAGAGAATGGACTCTAACCGTCCAAGCGGGGAGGAATCCCACCCAGCGACCACCAGCCGTCCTGGCCAGCCAAGGAGCACCGCAAACTACCAGCGGAGGATGCTTAGGAGTGCTGCCCCCGTGGCCATCCTGGCCCATGTGCCCAACACCTACCGTAGGGCCTGGCAGAGGAACACTCGTAGACATCTGTCGGGAGACTAAAATGAACAGCCCCCTGGGACAGCCGTGGTGGGGGCCAGCTGCACAGTACGCACCTCAAAGAAGTTCTCCTCGGTCACTTCCAGGGGGGCATTGAAGAAGTGCAGCACGTTGCTGGGGTGCTGGATCCGGTTCTTGGCTGCCTGCTCCGGAGTAGAAAACCGGTTGTTCCTGGACTCACTGAAGTCTTTGTAACTGCAGGACCCGTCTTCCAGCCCGTAAGATGGGCCGGGCATGATGGCTGGTTGCTTGGAGACGCTGTGGGAGGTGAGCGGGGCCTTCCGTCAGACCTCCAGAACTCCCCAAGGCGCTTAGCGCCTCTACCCCCAGCGGAGGCGGCACGCTTTCTCCCTCTGCTGTGGGGGAACATAAGGAAACACCCCCAAGCCCAGCCCCTCCCAGCCTCATCTCCGCCTCACTGGGCTCCTCTGCTGGGTCGTCCCTCTGGCCTTCCCTAGCCCAGGGAGACCCGGCACCTACCAGACATTCAGCTTCTGCCCAAACATGAAGTTGTTGTTGAGGTGAGTGATGGCGCGGTCCACCGCATAGCCGTCCGCCATCTCCACCATGGCAGCCCCAGGCTTGCTCTTCATGAATTTCACCTGGGGAGGAGAGGAGCCCCGGTCAGCTCCCTGCCCAGCGGCCCGTCTCCCGCCCTTCCAAGTGGGCGAGGAGCAAGAGTCCTGCTCTAGACCCAGGCTTCCGCTTTCTCACGGTGCGCAGGCGGCGAGGCACCAGGCCCACCTTGGTGGCAACACAGCCACATGGCTCTTTCCTGCAGGCGCAAGGGCAGGGTGAGAAAGCACAGCGGCCATGCCTGGTCTCTTTTTATATACTTTTTAATTTAATTGTTTTTTTGGTGGGACCCTCGCTGGCGGCCGGGGATCGAACCGGCACCGCAGAGGCTGCGGGCAGCTTCGCAACCCAGCGCTCAACTGCTGCGCCACCGGGGAGGCCCCGTGCCTGGCCTCTTACACACAGACGCGCGTATCTACAGACACAGGAAGGCCCTGCCCCGCGCGGGGGCGCAGCACGGAAACGCAGGCGGATCTGAACAGAGGCTCTCCGGCCCCGAGGCCTGCTTCCACAGAACAGCCTGCAAACCCGAGGAGTCATTCATCCTCCACGCCTTCACGCCCCCCACCTGCCTCCCTGAATATTGTGCCA